TAATAATAATTATATATATATATTTGTTGTTAAATGTTGTGGAGTCAGTTGTGACTCATAGTGACGATTTCCAAGGAGCAGCTGGTGAGTTTGAACCACTGACCTTGAGGTTCAAAATGGCCTTGAAGTTGAGGGCTTATCTTATAATGCCACATCAGGACTCTCTCTCTCTCTCTCTGCATATATATAACATTGGGCAAATCTGTTGAAAAAAAATTTCTTTTAAGTGAGAAAGCAAAGGTGTCTTGGTCTGTATTTCAATCACACAATATATGACAGAATCTGCCTCCCTCTGTTTCTCAGTCTCAGGTATTCTGCAATTATTTTAACTTGCTTCACCTTTACTTTAACTGCGTCCACTCCTGCCTGGAAGTGAGGATGGTGACAGAGGTTATTCTAAAGCTACTTTCTCCCTCCTTTCCTGTCTAAATGGGAAGACCATATTATCCCTCTTCCACCACTACCACATAATTCCATCACAGGACAGGTAAAAGATGAGTCATGAATGGATGTAATGTGGGGGTGAGGTAAGTTAGGGGAGTCAGACTGGAAGAGGGAGACAAAGGTTAGGAGAGTGAAAGAAGAGAGAGTCTAAAACTGAGTCTCTAGCCCAAGAAAACATATCATAGAAACAGATCCAAGACCCAAAAGGCTATATGAGCCATTCAATTTTCCCAGAATTCCCACGGTCTCTTTTGGACATAGGATGAATCGGCGCACCCAACCTAGCCTTATTATCAAAATCTGTAGGTTCCCTCAGGGATTCAGTTTCCAAGTCTGAGAATCGAGATACATGAGAAGGGCATTGAAATTTGTTTCATAATATGTGTACGTTGGACCTAATACTTGGGAATACCATTTCAGGATAGAAAAGATTTACCTTTTTTAAAAAAAGAAAAAAGGCTGAGAATGACTTATTTAGATTATTTAGGGGCACAATCACTAGATCATATCTCTAGATGTCATTGTCCCTTCTGGAGACCAGGGCCATGTGGTGTTCTCTACATCTTAAACACTAGAAATACACATGCACTCACTAGCAAGTGTTGGATAAAACAACACAGAAAATGTTTGATTTTTATTTTGAATAATTAATAAAACAACTTGTTAAATTGATTTTTCTTGATTTATTTCTCAGGCTTTTCTAAATCTTTGTTTCATTTTCTTTATTAAAAACAAAACAAATTAAAACACCCTGACTAATTAGGATCTGGCAAAGAGAAAGTAAAGATAAATGGATCAAAGAATGGATGGAATGAATGAATGAATGGTTTGGGGGTTCTTGGAATTTAAGGCTGTGCGTGATAGAGATGAATGTATGAATAATCCTAAAAATGAGTCTACCTAAATAGGGATGGACTCCTGGTGTGGCGCTGTGCACCAATGCACTAGACTGCAAGTTGGTTTGAATCACAAAGTCGGTGGTTCAAGTTCACCAGCTGCTCCTTGGAATCCCTATACAAGGTCGCTATGGGTTGGACTGATTTGACAGCATTTAGCAACAACAAATAGGGAATTTACACCCATGTGTTGTGTATGGATGATTCCTGCTTTATAATAAGACTTTCTAAAACAGTATGTTTAGCCTATCTGACATGTAGGGAAACTGAGACCTAGAATGATTAAGTGATTTACCCACTGAAGAAAAGATGGAGTTGAAACTTGGTCTGACAACCAAACTTAAGAATCTAATAATGAAGTTCACTTGCCTTCTGTACCCCACCAAGAGATGATGAGACTAGGGACTAATCTGTGGAAGAAGGACTGAGGGCTAGAAATATGAAGAGAGGGGCTGGTCTTAGCGGATTGTCTTGGGAAAATTCAATCTACATCTATTCAGGTGGGAGATTATAGGCTATATAATGACTCTTTAACAAAGAAAGCTCATACCTGATGGTATCCAGTATCAAGAAAGCAAAAATCCCAAGTAATCAGACTTCTGCATAAGCTGATTTCCCCAAAACTATTTAAGCAGATCCCGGTGCCCTGGACACAGGTCCTTGGCCTGGCATCATGGAGCTAGGAGGGGCTTTCACTATTTTTCTGGCACTCTGCTTGTCTTGCTTGATCATCCTCATTGCCTGGAAACAGATCAGCAAGGGAGGGAAGCTTCCCCCAGGCCCCACACCACTGCCCTTCCTGGGAAACCTGCTGCAAGTCCGCACGGATGCCACCTTCCAGTCTCTCATGAAGGTGAGTCGACCTCTCAGCAGGAAAGGAAGCATTTCATTCTAGAGCCAGTTATACTTGGAATCACATAACTTAAAAAAATATAAAATCCTGGAAGCACAGACTTTCTGAATCTTAGGATTCTAGAATATTAAAACTACTGACTCTCAGAATCTAATGACTTTGGAATCAGAGTACTTTAGACTCTTAAATACGAGGATACTTACACCGAGATTCTTATAGAACTTTAAAACTCAGGATCATAAAATCTTTGGATTTCAGGAATTTAGCATTTTAAATAGAGAAACACTGATCTTGGAATTTATCGAATCCAAGTCCATCATCTTAGACATGAAGAAATTAAGGCTTGAGGTGATGAGACTTGCCCAGGATCAGAGGAGCCTAAGTGCCTATGACTTCTAGCAAAAATCCTTCTAAACCCATAGCTTACCCTTTATTCTTTCTACCCTCATCAAAGTCCTCCTGAAATCACCACCACTCCAATACTTGATTGATCTATATTTGGTGCACACAAAAAAAAACCATCCTCCACTTCCATTCTCCTCCACCCCTAGCTCAAGGAGAAATATGGCCCTGTGTTCACTGTGTACATGGGACCCAGGCCAGTAGTAGTTTTATGTGGACATGAAGCAGTGAAGGAGGCTCTGGTTGACAGAGCAGAAGATTTCAGTGGCCGAGGAGAACTGGCTTCCATAGATCGAAACTTCCAAGGTCATGGTAAGTAACAACAAAATAATAACTACAGACATGTTTATAATGTACTCCCTATGTCCCACATTCTTTGATAACAACATAACATGTATAATTCCTGGAGGGAATTATCATTACTTTACTAACGGTTCAATTAAGGAGGCTGAAGATGATACCTCAGGTAATGTCACACAGTGAGTAAGTAATAGAATCAGGATTTGAACTCCATTTACTGAATCCAGAGTGTCTACTGTGCTACTTTTGTTGTAACTGTCAATCAAGTACCTATACTCTTTGTGTGCTAACTCAAACCTTCATGGCCAACCTTCCTTCCTACCTTTCTAAGACACATACACAACACATATGCTCCTGCATTCCTATTTAGGTAGACTCCCTGACAGGGTTAATCAGACATCCACTTCTAGCTACTCAGATCCTTTGATTCCAAGTTGCTTCACGTGGTTTATTCTGTCCATCCATTCTCATCCATCCCACCATATCTCTCTTTGCTTTACTTCCACCTACTCACTATTTAATTTATCCATGTTTCCATTTAAACATTCATTCATTATTCTTTCTGTACAAACATCCAGACATCTATTCATTAACTTCCATTTATCCTTTCATCTGCCCACCCTTCCATCTAGTATTCATTATTTTTTTTTATCAATACTTCTAACCATTTTCCATTCATTTCTCAAATCATGCATCCATGAACATGGTATTCATTCATTAGCTCTTTCATCCACTCACCCATCCATCCACCAAACCAGTCATCAGCACTTCCATTCATCCACCCCTAACTACATACCCTTTCCTGACCTTTCCAAATATCCATTCAAACCTTTATGCACATCTGGAAATTTCTAAGTGCGTATTTTAATATTTGTTGATGGGGTGAGAATGTTTGATGGAGAAGGGGAGAAATGTGGGTTGGGGAGATGAAGCAACAATAGAGAGGAAGGAATGCAATAGGAGAAGGGTGGGAATAATTAATTTGGAAACCTCTAAATGTTTCTCATTGAATGATAACTCCTTTTGTGTAGGTAGATTGATGCCCAAGTCTGAGCTTGTGAGTACATATAGGTGCATGTCTAGAGAACACAAGAAGTATATAGAAAATAGTAGGTGACTCCCCATTTCAGTGATCCACCTGATATTGTATTAGTCATTTCCTCCCTATACATTCATTCAATTGTATTTCTGGCTCTCTATCTTATGTGAAGTTCTCCTTGACATCCCCTAATTTTTTCTATTCTGATTTCCTTTTCTCTCACACAAGTCTTACATTTGAAAGACGTACGGGGGGAGGGGGAGAACCTTAGTCTCCCAATCTAGACTGTGAAGTTAGAAAGGGGGTCCTGGAGACCAGAATCTGCAGCTTTCATTATGTGTCCCCTTCACGGTCCAGCACAGAGTTGGAAACAAAGGGAGGGAAGGTAATTTGCTGACACTGAGATTCTGGCAGGTGTAGCTCTGGCCAATGGCGAACGATGGAAGATTCTCCGCCGCTTCTCCCTGACCATCCTCCGGGATTTCGGGATGGGAAAGCGAAGCATTGAGGAGCGGATCCAGGAGGAGGCCGGCTACCTATTGGAGAGTTTACGGAAGACCAAAGGTATGGGGTCTTCAGAGGGGATAGCTACAACAGACTGAATTGTTGTAGAGAGCTCAATCTAGAAAAGATAGGCCTTGGTGAGAGGAACCTCTGCAATGGGATTAGAAAAGAAAAGATGGATTTGGGATTCACAGATTTGAAAGCTTAATATAAAAGACCTTCAAAAATTTCTTGTCTAGGGGCCATCACTCTCAGTTGAAAATAAGGAGTCTGTGAACCCCTGGGATTATTTGCATACTTTGGGGACACCTGAGTACTAATTTTATGAACACATGATTAAATTTTATTATATTCTCAAAGAAATACATTCTTTATCCAAAACTATGGCCAAACACGATTGAGTTCTAGAGATAAAAGACACAGAAGCTGAGAAATACAAAGATAAGAGATAGATATTATTCTCTAAATCAGACATTCCTCCCTGGGCTCCATGGATGCTTAGCAGAGATTATGTGAAGGCTCAGAATATCTATAGATTCCCATAAATCATTCTTAAAGTATACATGTATACATAAGGAGTTCTGCTAGCATAACGGTTAAGAGTCGGGCTGTTAACCTCAAGGTCAGCAGTTCAAAACTACCAGCTGTTCTATGGGAGAAAGATGAGGTTTTCTGTTCCCATAAAGATTTATAGCCTCGGAAACCCTGTGCAGGGTCACTATGAGTCAGAACACATTCCATAGCACACCACCACATAATATGATTTAGGTGCATTTTTCTTCAGAAAATACCCCAAAACCCAGCATCCTATATTAAGATAGGTGACTGAGGTCTAGGTAGGGATATTCTTAATAGCACAAATAGAATCACTGATAGAGCTAAAATTGGAGTCAAGTCTTTTTTTTTTTTTTCTTTTTCTGGTATATATATCTTACTAGTACTTGTTTCAAAAATCTGTGATACATCACCAAAACATGTGCTAAAAAAAAAAGGAAAGAAACCAAGCCTTTCTAACATATATTGAGTCCTTAGTACATTCCAGACAATATGCCAACAATTTTACATAAATCACTGAATTGAATCCTCATAAACCAATGAAGTGTTTATTAAGTGAATTTACATATTAGAAAATCTAGACTCAAAGTACAAACAGTGAATTAAGTCCTAAAACCAGGTCTCCATGCAGGACTGATTGACTCCACAGCCCACATTAGCAATAATGTCTAACACACCTCTCATTACCAGGTGCTCCCATTGATCTCACCTTCTTCCTGAGCCGCACCGTCTCCAACGTCATCAGTTCCATCGTTTTTGGAAGCCGCTTCGACTATGAAGATGAGCAGTTCCTCAAACTACTGAGGCTGATCAATGAGAGTTTCATTGAGATGAGCACCCCTTGGGCACAGGTGCCTAACAGCCACTTCTCTGTCCACCCTACCCCAAATCTGAATTACTTAAGCAGCTGCCCTGTACCTTGCTTAGTTCTGCCCACAACCCTGGGAGGCAAGGATCAATATGCCCAAGTCTCCGACCCAACTCTAGATTTTGAGCCCAGCTTTGGGGATCTAGACTCAGCTCATGCTGTGCTCAAAAGTAACAAATCTCTGCTCGGTTCTTCACAGCTATATGATATGTATTCCGGAATCATGCAGTATTTTCCAGGAAGACATAATCGAATCTACTATCTGATAGAGGAGCTCAAGGACTTCATTGCCTCTAGGGTCAAAATCAACGAAGCATCTCTTGACCCCGCAAATCCTCGGGACTTCATTGACTGTTTCCTCATCAAGATGCATCAGGTACCTTCTCTTCTTCTTCCAGTTCTTTCATCTTCTCTATCTCTAGGTCATGCTTCAAGAAAACCACACGTAAGCATGTTCTCAACAAAAGAACAAGTATTGTTTCATGTGGTTTACTTACATTTAGAAATAAAATATAGAAACCATTAAAGCATGCATTTTTTATAATTTGAGAAGAAATAAAAAATTTTGAAGTTTGAGAACCATATACAATTAGAACCTTATACTTTTCTTATCATACATGCCAGCAACATAAAACTATAGAAAACTAGAATGATAACTTTAGAATATTAGAATGTGAGGAACTTAGATGTCAGACGTCTCAGTGATTTAGGAAATTCGGAGTTGTATGATTCACTGAATCTTACAGATTTAGAAATATGTGTTTTTATGTCATAGACCCATCATGTCATAGAACAGTCAAATCTCACAGGCACTTGACTTTTTTGTCTTGCTATTGTTTGCTTCACTCCAACCACGCTGCACTCATCCTTGGTGTTCCTCTAGAATAACACGTACCCTCCTGTTTCCACATTCTTGCTCTTGCCCTTTCTTCTGCCTGGAACATTCCACCATGGAAACCCACTTGGTTTGCTCAATGATGGTCTTTTCACAAAAGTCTTCCATAAACACAGGAAAGAAATAAGAAGATAAAGACAGAAAAGAGTGATTCTGTTTACTATCATCTTCTATTTTAGGATAAAAATAACCCCCACACAGAATTCAACCTCAAGAATTTGGTTCTTACCACTCTCAATCTCTTCTTTGCTGGCACGGAGACTGTGAGCTCGACCCTCCGATACGGAATCCTGCTGCTCATGAAGTATCCTGAAGTAGAAGGTAAGAGAGTGTCTCAGTATGTTCCCCTGGTATTCCCACTCTCAAGAGGAAGGAATACTCTTACAACGTTATAATTCAACAGCCTCAGACTCTTTTGATCATAGACACTGAATATAATGAGTACAAAATCTTGGACCCTCAACCTTAGTAAATTGTTTAATCTTCTAGTGATCCCTATATTAGTTTCCCATTGATGTGGCAACACACTACCACAGAGTTAGTTTCATAAAACAGCATAAATTATTACCATACAGCTTTGGAGGTCAGAAATATAAAATAGTGTTCACTGGACTGAGATCAAAGGTCATTCTCCTTCTGGAAGTTGTAGGGTAGAATCTGATTCCCTACCTCTTCCAACTGCTAGAGTTGTAATCCTTATATTCTTGGCTCATAGTCCATTCCCCTATTTCTAAAACCAGTAGTTCACATCTTCAAATATTTTTCTACTTTCAATTTCACATCCTGTCTCTAACTCTGCACCTTCTGCCTCCCTCTCATAAGTTTACTTGTGATTACATTGTGGACCACGTGAGTAATTCAAAATCATCTTTACAACTCAACAACTTTAAGTGAATTGCATCTGCAAACAACTTCTTGTGATACAAGGTAAAATTCACAAGGTCCAAGAATATAGAAGGTAGATATCATTCAACTTACTACAATTGCAGAACTAAGCAGCATCCACTTTCAGTAAGTGGTTATTTGGTATGTTCATGGAGCTACAAAGATGAGCACCTTATTATCATGCTTAAGAAATACCCTCAACTGTAGTCTCTCTCATTCCTAATAAAATTGAAAACAAGGCTCTTGTTTTCTCTTGGCACAAGGGATGGGAGAGACCAACCTGTTTCCACTCATCTCCATTGTCCTAGCTTGTCCTTTACTACTATAAATAATCAAATATTATTGGACATCTTCTATATTCATTTCGTAGTGTTGCTGTAACAATATACTGGATGGTTCTTTTAAACTGAATAGTTTAAAAGAACAAAAATCTATTGCCTCACACTTTAGGAGGCTAGAAGTCTAAATCCAGGATATCAGCAGAGTCACACTCTTTGAATCTTTAAACCAGGTGACAGGAACGTTTTTTCTGCCAAAATTTATAGCATCATTCCTGGGCAATACAAAATTACCAGCTCTAAACTTAGCCTGCTATATTTTGACAAACATTTAACTAACTCACCTCCAATGTGATGAAGTGAGATGGATTAGCAAAGCGGCAACATCAATGGGCTCAAGTGTGGGAACAATTGTGACGTTGGCCCAGGATCAGGCAGTGTTTCATTCTGTTGTGCAAAGGGTCGCTATGAGTCAGTGCTGACTCAATGGCACCTAACAACAACAACAACAACAATGTGATGGTTTACCACCACTCATCTTTCAGTTTGTTGTGCTGTGGTGGCTTGTGAGTTGCTATGATTCTGGAAGCTACACCATGGGTATTTTAAATGCCAGCAGGGTCACCCATAGTGGACAAGATTCAGATGAGCTTCCAGACGAAGACAGACTAGGAAGGAGTGACGAACAACTTCTGAATATTTAGTCACTGAAAACCTTATGAATAGCAGAGAAACACTGTTAGATATAGTGCCACAAAATGAGCCCCTCAAGTTGGAAGGCTCTCAAAATGCGACTGGGGGAGAAGCTGCCTCCTCAAAGTAGAGTTGACCGTGATGACATGAATGGAGTAAAACTCATGGGAGTAAAGCCTGCGGGACTTTTATTTGCTGATGGGACACAACTTAAAATGAAGAGAAAAGGCTGTTTGTTGTTGTGAAGTGTCATAGAGTTTGTTCCGATCCATAGCGACCCTGTATAGGGTTTCCAAGGAGCAGCTGGTGAGCTTGAACTGCCTACCTTGAAGTTCAAATGGCTTTGCAGTCTGGCGCATTAACCCACAGTGCCACACCAGGCTGTAAACATCCATTAATAATCGGAACATGGAATGTACGAAGTATGAATCTAGGAAAACTGGAAACTATCAAAAATGAAATGGAACACATAAATATCGATATCTTAGGCATTAATGAGCTGAAATGGACTGGTATTGGCCATTTTGAATCTGACAACCCATGGTTTACTATGCCGGGAATGACAAATTGAAGAGGAATGGTGTTGCATTCATTGTTAAAAAGAACATATCCAGATCAGTCATGAGGCACAGCGCTGTCTGTGATAGAATAATATCCATGCACCTACAGGGAAGCCCAGTTAATATCACTTATTCAAATTTATGCACCAACCACTGAAGCCAGTGAGGATGAAAATAGAAGGATTCTACCAACTTCTTCAATCTGAAATTGATCAAACATGCAATCAAGATGTATTGATCATTACTGGTGATTGGAATGCAAAGGTTGGGAGGAAACAGGAAGGATCAGTAGTGGGGGAAAATGACCTTGGTGATAGATCGCATGATAGAATTCTGCAACATCAATGATTTGTTCATTTCAAATACCTTCTTTAGACAGCATAAGAGACAACTATACACATGGACCTCACCAGATGGAATACACAGAAGTCAAATTGAATGCATCTGTGGAAAAAGACAATGGAAAAGCCCCATATCATCAGTCAAAACAAGGCCAGGGACAGATTGTTCCTATGCAAATTCAAACTGAAGCTGGAGAAAATGAAAACAAGTCCACTAGAGCCAACATATGACCTTGAGTATACCTCACCTGAATTTAGAGATCATCTGAAGAAAAGATTGGATACATTAAACACTGAAGACCGAAGACCAGAAGAGTTGTGGGATGACATCAAGAACATCATATATGAAGAAAGCAAAAAATCATTAAGAAGACAAGAATGAAGGAAAAGATCAAAATGGATGTCAGAAGGGGCACTGAAACTTGCTCTCCAGTGTAGAGATGCTAAAGTGAATGAAAGAAATGAGGAGGTACGAGAGCTGGACAAGTCAAAGGTCAGCTCGAGAAGACAAAGCCAAATATTACAACAAAATGTGCAAAGATCTGGAGTCAGAAAGCCAAAAAGGAAGAACATACTCAGCATTTCTCAAGCTTGGGAAACTAAAGAAAAAATTTAAGCTTCGACTTTCATTATTGAAGGATTTGCTGGGCAAATTATTGAATGATGCAGAAAGCAATGGAAGGAATACACAAAGTCACTGTACCAAAAGGAAATGGTTGATGTTCAACTCTTTCAAGAGGTAGCATATGATCAAGAGCCAATGATACTGGAGAAAGAAGTTCAAGGTGCATTGAAGGAATTGGCAAAGAACAAGGCACCAGGAATTGATGGAATACAAATGGAAATCTTTCAAGAAAGTGCGGCTGCACGGGAGACACTCACTCATTTATGCCAAGAAATTTGGAAGATAACTATCTGGCCGACTGATTGGAAGAGATCCATATTTGTGCCCGATCCAAAGAGAAGTGACCCAATGAAATGTGGAAACCATCGGACAATCTCTTTGATATCCCATGCGAGTAAAGTTTTACTAAAGGTAATACAGACACAG